CGACCCTATTCAGGTTCCATCTGGGGCCCCGCAGGGCAGTCACCTTGGTCCGCTACTTTTTACTATTTATATTAACGATATCTATCAAAATTGGACGGGAATATTATACAATCGAGTATCAAAATGAGTTAGATGAACTTAGAATACAGCATCCTCCAAAGGGTCACATCAAAACACGATCACAAAAAAAATAATAAATACACTGGTGAATTTACATGTAAGACCGTTTTCATTGATATGCTGCATGTACTTGCTTGCTTAGATTACATTTGTTCGTTAATTTGTTTTATTATATTAGTACATTTATATATATTTTTTTTTGTTCTAAGAAAATTCTTTTTGTTTTTTTTTGTATGCATTATGAAGCTGGCGCATTTGAATGTGTGTTCTTTAACATCTAAATTTAATAAGTTTACAGACTTAGTTAACGGTTCTGAATATGACGTTGTGGGCTTGAGCGAGACGTGGCTTACTGGTGATGTTGACTCGGCTGCGATTGGTATTGATGGTTTTGTGCTGGAAAGAATGGATCGAGGTACAAGGGGGGGAGGCGTTGCGTTCTATGTGAGTAACAAGATCAGGTTTAAATTGATCAGTTCATCTGATGCTATAGAACAGCTGTGGATCTCTGTTCTGGTAGATAAGTTGCGTTTTGCTCTTGGTGTAATTTACAAACCTCCTAAATTTAACTACTCAAGTTTTGTTGATGAGCTGGAAAGTACTCTTTCCAATGTGGTGTCAACGCATGACAGAGTAATTTTGATGGGTGATATCAATATTAATTTATTAGAGAGTTCAGTTGCTACAGACGCATTTCTTGACTTATTGAGTTCTGTTGGGCTCTTTCAAATAGTCCCTTCTGCCACAAGAATTACAGCAAGTTCACAAACTTTGATAGACATAATTTGTGTTTCAGATCTAGAGATTGTACGAGATAAGGGTGTTTTGCATGGTATTAGTGATCACGAATTGGTATTTTGCGATGTCGGGTTTGTATTGCCACCACAGTTTCCGTTATATAAAAATGTAAGATCTTTCAAATATTTTAATGATGAAGCTTTTCTTGGTGACTTGTATCGCAGTCCGTTCTTTTTAATATTTGATTTCACTGATATAAACGACAAAGTAAATTTCCTCACTTCTAGTATGTTATCGGTTATTGATTGTCATGCTCCATTTAGAAGATATAGATTTACTAGACCCGCAGCCCCTTGGATTACGCCGACTATTAAGGAAATGCAGAGACTTAGGGATAAAGCCTTTAAAGACTTTAAAACTACTAAAACAAAACAAGCATGGGATTATTACAAACAGTTGAGAGGTTTGACCAATGCGGCGATTGATGGGGAAAAGAAAGTTTTTTTGGAGAGACGGGTACAATGCGAGCGCAAGAATCCCTGGAAGGCTTTGAGAGAGACCGGTGTGAGTACACGTGGAAATTATGTAATACCGCAACATCTTGATCGCCCCAATGATTTAAATTATTATTATATAAATTCAACCTTGCCTGCATTTTCTCCTGATATGGAATTGTTAAACTATTACAAAAACAATAAGATAGGTGATGCACATTTTGCATTTCAACCTGTAAATGATCTGGAAGTGCTTCAGACAATAAACGCAATTAACACAAATGCAGTCGGAATAGATACCTTGAATATTAGGCTCATTAAACTTGCTTGTCCCCATATTGTAACGTATGTTAGACACATCATTAATGCTTGTTTGTCTGAGGGAAAATTTCCTGAAGCTTGGAAGATTGCGTTGGTCAAGCCTCTCCCAAAAATTAGTAATCCTTCTGCATTCTCTCATCTTCGACCAATAAGTATACTTCCGGTGCTGTCGAAGGTGGCGGAAAAGATTATTGTTGCTCAATTGCGGAGGTATATTTATGACAATGATCTTCTCCCGGACACTCAGTCTGGCTTTAGGAATGGTTATGGTTGTGCCACTGCACTGTTAACAATAATTGATGATATCGTTACAGAGTTGGATAAGGGGAAGGCCACTCTCTTATGTTTGTTAGATTTTTCAAAGGCATTTGATACCATAAACCATGCAATGCTGCAATCTATTTTAAATTTTATAGGGTTGGATGACATGGCGGTTAAGTTGCTGCATAGCTATATATCTGACCGTACACAGCATGTTATTTTGAACGACAATGTTTCTGATTCGCTCAAAATAGGATCAGGTGTACCCCAAGGTTCCGTCCTGGGCCCGCTTCTGTTTACCATCTATATTAGAAGTTTTTCGGAGTCCTTGCATTATTGTAAATCACATTTCTACGCGGACGACACGCAATTGTATTATTCTTTTTCGCCGAGTGATGTGGCAGCAGCCTGTGATCATGTTAATAGCGATATCCGGGCTATTGTTGACGTCTCTCGGCGGCATAGTCTAATGATAAATTCATCAAAAACGGAATTGATCCTGTTTGCAGCTAAAAATAAACGTGAGTCAATATTATCCCACCTGAATGTTTCCGTAAACAATATCAAAATATCTTGTACTAACTCGGTAAAGAGTCTGGGTATGATTATTGACGAAAACCTTAAATTTAATGATTACATTAACAAATGTACGCAAAGAGCATATATTAATTTAAGACTAATATACAATAGCCGACGTCTTTTAAATAAAAGGATGAAAATGATGTTATGTGAGTCACTTGTACTGTCACATTTCAATTATTGTGATGTTGTATATTCTCCATTTTTGTCATTGGTTGCAACCAGGAAAATTCAGAAAGTACAAAATTCGTGCTTAAGATTAATTTTTGGTATTCGCCGTAGAGAAGGTGTCGGTCATAAGCTATTGGATGTGGGATGGTTAAACATGAAACATCGAAGGGTATTACATTCTGCATGCTTGTACTTTAGAATCATTAGATTAGAGAAACCACCCTACTTATACAACAAAATTATGACCCGATCCGACGTACACACTTTGAACATTAGGTTTAAGGGAACTTTAACGCCTCCTACTCACGTACATGAATTTTTAAAAAAATGTTTTTCGTACCAAATCACAAAAGTTTGGAATAATCTTCCTATTACACTTAAACAATGTTTAAAAGTTAACAGCTTTAAATTACAGTATCGGAACCTCTTACTTGGTGGCCGGGTCGAACATGTGTGAGCGTCTGTTGCTTGTGGCTCTATTGGTTGTAGCCTGATTACATCGTTATGTTACTATAGAACTGTTAACCTCACTTCGCACTTAACTTTTGATTTCAGTTATTATTGTTAATATTATTTTTACTATTATTTTCTTTTTTTCTCAATTTTGTTGTTTTTCCGTTCAACGCACCAGCTTTATAATTATAATTATTCTAGTGTTACAGTACAATTTAATTTCACNCCTTGATCAGGGGTGTAAGCCACGGAGCAGGTTTTTTTGTAAATCTTTTCGTTTGTAGTGGTGCATGTAAATCAAATAGATCTAGTATTAAAGAATTAAAATAATTCACTTTTTCATCAATGCCGTTAATTTCAAAAATTAATTGTAAAGGTAATGATTCAAGTTCTCTACTAAACAGATCGAGATTAAACCTCTTAAAGTCTCTATAAGTTCGAAATGTAGGAACAGGCTTTGTACTAGCAGTTTTCAAATGAGAGTGTACCAGTTCGTGATCTGAAAGGTGGGGTAGTGAATATAAACCAACCAGGGTGAATTCTTCACATGAACATGCAGTAATATCTATTAAAGTTTCGGAATTAAGTGTAATACGGGTTGGTTGATTAACAAGTTGAACCAGACCAAACGAAACATTTTAGATCATGAGAACATTTTTAATCTGTTTTAAAAGACCATTCCCGACGTAAGTTTTGTAGGTTATGTCAATGTGTTTTATATTTTCTGATTTGAGTTTTTATGATTGTAATTTTGATGTTGTTCACTGTTTTTCAATAGGAACTCCTGATGATGATATTATAAATATCGAAACCGGTTGAGCGAATAAATTTATATCACCGTAAAGTACGACTTCGTTGATTTCTACCATTTAAATATATTTTGAGTCAAATTTTCCGCTCCTTGCAGGTTTTGTCACCTATCTCTGTTCAATTTTACTTTTCACCTTCACTAACTCCTTAACGTTAACATCAGACCGTTTCGAAACACGATAGCATGCATACGACTTTCATATGTTAAGGTAATTTTTAACCTTTTATTATATTAATTAATTGTATACATCACCTTGTTTCTTGCAAACAATTTTCTTTCTATTGGTTTAAATTTGAATATTTTTTAAAATGTTTTTTAGTTTTTCAATTTGTTCTTCTTTGAACTGTAATTCAAGTCTCTCGACGCCTTCATCATGTTTATTTCTCTTAATGCATTGCAACTCTGACATAACTGACGGTAATTATTAATTTTTTAAACTTTTGACTATAATTTTAACACCTAATTTAATTACCTTAGTTGTACCTGATGACGCTTATATAAGATAAGCGAAACACGTGTTGTACAGATTGAAATAAAATAAATATCATTGTGGAACAAAATATTGGATTTATTCAATTCTTAACCACAACAACATTACCAAACTATTAGTCATTTAAATAAATTTCTTAAAAAGATTTAACTACGGGTTTTCTCTCATAAAATCTGTTCATACACCTACGTAAAAAAAATTGGCGCCTATAAATCGGTATGTACTGACGAACAGTCTGCAACAATTCGTTATTTAGTCTCTAAGGACACATTATCGATTTTTTTGTATACTGAAATATATGCAACTTATTTTGCGTTTCTCGTAGTAAAATACTAATAGTAAAATTTAAATTTTTATGAATAGCGACACATAAATTATCCTGCCATCTGAGTATTACGAACACAAACTAACATCGGTTGAATAACTATGTATATTTATAAACAAGGCTGCTATTATGAATGAATAACGATAACGTTGTGATAACAATAATGAATCTCAACGTTCTAATTGCATTTTCTGATTGTTCTGTTATTTACGACCCAAATAAAACCAGTTAACCGTATATTTTTAAACTTATATTTACATTTATCGTTTCTACTTATAAACTTTAACAACACAATACAAAGTTTAATATATCACAGTCCTACATCAAATATGTATATAAACATAAAATTAATCGATGCCAACTTCAAATAATAAATTGTACCTATAAAAATCTTAAAAATTTTATATTTTATGTTAAACATAAAAAAGAATTATAATTTACTTATAGTAACGTCAATATTTTTGACATCTTCCACAGGATTAAATCCTTTATTATCCATACCATTAATATCTAATTTATCCTTTCGACTACATTTTTTCTTAACTAAATTATCTAATTTAATTCCTCCATTAAAATGATCAGCTATTTCGTGTAAACTTTTACCTTCTGTTTCCGGTAAATAAATGTAGAGCAAAAGACAACCAATCAATCCGATCGCGGCATTTAACCAAAATGTTCCCGCCAAAGTTAAACCATCAACAATATATAAAAACGTTTTGTTCGCTAAGAATCCAAAGATATAACCAATTGCACTCGAAAAACCGGATCCGGCGGCTCTCGTTTCGTTCGAATAAAGCTCACCGGTTAAAACCCACGGTAAAATTCTTATACCAATGTGCGATAATAAAGCAGCTAAAATTAAAAAGATTAATGGCGTCCAATTATAAACCATATCTGTATCAGAATTTAAAGATAAATTCATTGAATTTGTGATATTTACATTTTTTTGGTTAAAATGATTTACATCGTTTAAATAAACGTAAGTTGCTACTACAACGAAACAAATCGAAGTTCCGATCAACGAAATAAAATTTAATAAGCGTTTTCCTAATTTATGAATAAGAAATACACATAAAATGCATCCGACAAGTTCCGCGCAACCTAAAATTACAGTCGACACATATTTATCGATTGGAGCGTTTATGCTTAAAAAGATTTGAACAGCAAACGTTTGTAAAGTAGTCATTCCCGAAAAATGTCCCAAGAAAAACGTTAAAGCCACAACACCAAACGGCCACAAAAAGTTTTTCTTTGAAAACAATCTTAAATTATCTTTAAAACTTTTTTTATTATCACTTTCAATATGAACTTTTAAATCATTAAACTCCTTCTCAACAGTTTTATTGTTTTTCACGCTAACCCAACCTCTTAACCAAGCAATACTTTTTTTCGCTTCTGTTTCTCTTTCTTTTAAAATTAACCAATGCGGGCTTTCCGGTACAAAAAATAATAAAGTAAACGATAATATCGGAAATATGCAGTTTGCTAAAGCGGCATGTTTCCACGATAGGAACGTGCCTAAAAGAAATTCCAATAAAATTCCTAAAATTACTGATAAACTACTTGTTGATGACAAAGCGCCGCGTAGTTTTGGTTCGCAAATTTCTGCCACATATGTTATCACAGGAGCTTCAAGCAATCCTCCCGTTAATCCGGTTATACACAACGCTATTAAAACTTGCGTAATATCCGTTGCAAAAGACAATAACAACCATGCGCACAAAAAAGGAATGTTTACTATTTGCATTGTTCGTTTTCGTCCGTAAGCTTGCGTTACCATTCCGGAAATTGTTCCGCCTATTGGGACGCATATTAAATTTATTGAACCTGAAAATAAATAAGTATAATTTTAGAATAAATTTAAAAATTAAATTTGAACTTAAACAGTTAGTTTAAAACTAAATGAGTTATTAGTTATTCAAATTTTTAAATAAATTAAAAAAACAGCACTTGAACGATGACATTTATTGTAAAAAGCTTAGTTTTCTACCGGTTTCGACTGTGCAACAGTCATCCTCAGGAATACGACCTGTATAAAACAAGGATTACATTAATATCTTTAAGTATTGTAAAAGAAACATGTGCTTATTCATGTCTATCTTAAAATATGAAGAAATATAAAAATTAATACAGATAACTTACGTCAACGAACATAAAATAAAACAGGAGCTCATCGGATTACAATATGAAGGTTCCTTCACAAAAAACTATTAATATAACTTAACTTAGAAATGATAAACTGTGAAAACTTTTAGGCGCGCAAATATGTGATTTGAGGTTATATTTCCAGTTGCAAAGTTGGAAATTAAACTAAAAATCTGTTGGCAGCACTTGAACAAAAATACACAATTGACGTTCTGGAACGATGGCGCGAAAAATTCAATATTTAAAAAATCTCTAATCATTCAAACAACATAAATTGAATT